AGTAACATCTCCATTGTAAGACTTGTTGTTACTGTGTTTGGCATATCGAATATGTCACAGGTAGCTTGCCAGCCTTTGCCATGCAGGCGAGATACTCTTGGTAGCTTGCCAAGCTCTCCGAGAGGGGCGGAAGATTTGAACCTGGGTTGGCCTGGCCTGGGCTTCAAGCAAGGCAAAAACTGCTGTGCTATCGTTCCAGCCCTGTGCTGAGGCTCACTGATAGAGTGAAAGTGTAAGATCCTACGTTTGATATCAGACATCCCTCCAAAAAATCCTTGATAGGAGACATTGTGTGTGTGTGTAGTAAATGTTACTGATATTAAAAAACATGTATTACACACATAAACAATAATAAAATATACGATACTCTTATCACTTGCCTTTAGCCAGTTGATTCTGCTTTATCTCTGGTAAAAGAATTTATAAACTCTATGGGTGCAACTGGCAAATAAATATGGCCCTAACATGCATGTTGTACATCTGTTATCATAAATGTTAACAAAAGTGTAACAGTGAAGAAGTAGGAACAACACTCCTTTACTGATGATGTGGAGAGCTACTTTGTAATATTCCAATATAATGGAAGGATATTTGTTTTATTCGTTGTGCTGTTCACATTCCAAACAGCTATTGTTAGCTAAATTTTTATATCCTTCCAAAATTCAAATACTGAAATCCTACCTCCCAAATTACTGCTTTACTGTTTCTGACATATCTAATACCACACGGGGAGCTTGCCAGGCTCTGCCATGTGGGCGGAATACTCTTGGTAGCTTGCCGGGCTCTCTGAGAGGGACAGAGGAATTGAACCTGGATCGGTCGCGTGCAAGGCAAATGCCCTACCTGCTGTGCTATCGCTCCAGCCCAGTAATGAGAAGAAAATGCTTGTTTAAATCCTCCAATCTCTGGTAATTTGTTAGAGTATCCCAGGCTGAGTTAAAGGATGGTCAGAGTCACTTCATACTTTTAAGTTTAATCTGCATCATTAGCATTCTCTCCATCAGATACATCTGGAGACAACTGGCCTGAATTGTACTAATTGCTAATTTCTATGATGCAAAGAGTTGATTTCATGTTACAGTATGAGATAACACAGAGTTGCGAAGAGCTAATAGTAACACATCATTCTGTAGTATTTCCATCACAAACAATTATATAAATAACCTGGAAAATATAGGTCATAGTAAAATGAGGTGTGATTAAAAGAAAGTGTTGAGTTCTAATTAGTTTTTGCTTTTGGTTTTGGTAACACTATTTCGTTGTATGTTTATGTAATTATTTTTTTACTAATAAGAGTTGTTAAAGAGGCAGCTTGTAAAATTTCTAATAACAATTAATTTTTGTGAGTAGGTAAAAGATGACTCCAACATACTTAAAAAACTTCAAGTTATAGCTCAATGGTTGGGCTAATAAACATTTTTTCCCTTTGCATGCAGGAGACTTGGGGTCAATCACCCTGTACTGCATGGTCCCCTGAGCACCTACAGAGCATTCTGCCCCACTCCACAGCACAGAGCTGAGCACAGAACTCAGAGCAGCCCCAAGTACAGCTCCCAAATAAAACTTTTAAACCAAAAAATTTTCAAAATTTTGAAATAGCATTACAAATTTTAGCTATTAAGCTGGAAATGACAATTAGCCTATTTTCTTTCCTAGGACTGAAGACAACAGTGACAATTTTATCTGGGTCTTACATATTGGTATTAAATTGTACCAAATAGAAATAATATTTTGGTTTATTAAAATAACAGAAACACACATGGAACTTAGACAATGCATTATTATTTCAATATTTTAAAAGAGTAATAGTCATATAATTCCTTATTTTAGAAATGTATTCTAAGAACATGTCTTAGCAGCTAAAGATATTAACTGAACCCCAACCTATAAAATAACTGTATTGCCATGCAAGATAAAAAAAAAAAGTGAATCTAGAAAACTAAAAATTTGATACCTGATAATTGAAGATAACCTGATAGAATACATAAAAGAGACACACAAAATTCACTACTGTAGAAATCAAAGCCAAATCTCGCCTGTGGATATTTAAAAAGAGTTAGGTAACACAAAGGCCAATAATAACATGTTTTAAAGGCCAGGTCGTATTCCGCGCTTCAGGGTGTAAGCTGATCGGCAGAAGAACTGGAAAGGAAATGAAATGCCCGCCTTTCCTATTTTCTTTCTGCCCAGCACATATGATATTTCACAAGTGAATAAGTGAATGACGAAGGCAATTTCAACTTTCCTATGAGGTACAGACACCTACTGATGGGATAGAAGACGAAATGGCAGCTGTTATCAACTCATTAGTTTTATTCTTCATCCAAATATTTTCCTTTTAAGCACAAGATATTGGCCTTCAGGATCTGCCTGGTCTAATTTCTACTCAGCCTGCACATACATGGATTTGCAGTTCACACCGCACCAGAAGAACGCACTTTACTCGATCCCCCATTCATTTGTCTCTGTTTGTAAACACAGATGTAATTCAAAGCAATGCATTTTATCTCACTCTTTGTATTCTATCTAACCTGTGTGATTAAAAATAAATAAACTGCCAGGGATATAGCTCAGGGTTCAACACTTGCTTTGCATTCATAAAGTTCTTGTTTCCATCTTCAGTATTAAAAAAAAATAAAATTTAAAAAAATGTTAAATCTGCAAATTATGGAGATTCATTTTATACGAGAAAGGGGGAAAAAAGTAAGATATACAGAAGATATACAGGTCAGACACTTCCATTACCATGATGTTTTAAACACAGGCTTTTCAAAAACATGTGACGAAAATTTTTTCACTTTCGACCCTGTATGATTTCCAAACATTAAACAATCTTTCTCTTTAAAAATAGACAATCTAGCTGGAGAGAAAGTGCAATAGGTAGGGTGTTTGCCTTCCACAATTCACTCCCCAGCACCCTATCTGGTCCCCTGAACCCTGCCAGGAGTGATCCCTAAACACGGAGCCAGAAGTAAGGCCTGAGCACAGCTGGGTGTGGTTCCCCCCAAACAAACAAATGAACAAACAAACAAACCCGCTTTCAGTCAGTAGCAGTAACCCACATAATGGTGAAGACATCAATTTATAGTAGGAGTGTTCTAGATAATATTTTTCTTTTTTGCGAATATTTGTTTGTAAACAGATTTTATTTTAACGATGTCTTTAGAGCATCTTTCTCTTTAAAGAATATTTATGGCAGCAGTAAAACCAATATATAAATATATGTCACATAGATTTCACTTGGAATTTTCACTTGAACTTAATTCCTAAGAAACAACAAAAGTGGGATGGCTGATGTCAGAGAGATAGTAACAGTAGTTAAAGTGCTCGTCTTATATGCGACAGACCCTCCTTCATTCCCTGGCACCATGTGGTCACGCCATCACCACCAGGAGTGCCTCTGAAAGTGCCTGAGCATGCCCACATGGCACAGGTATCCTGATGCCAGCACCACAGGACCTTACATAGAACATCCAACCCAAGTGTTGCCTGGAGGGGTCCCCTCGGGTGTCCTGGTCACTGTGTGGGAGACCACCTTCCCAAAAGAAAAAAAGCGAATGAATCTAAAGTTTACTAATAATAGTAAATTCTCTTCCAGTCCATCATTAATTGTAATCTGTACTGTCTGCACTGTCCTCCCATTGTTCATCGATTTGCTCAAGTCAGCCCAGTAATGTCTCCATTGTGAGACTTGTTGTTACTGTGTTCGGCATATTGAATACGTCATGGGTAGCTTGCCAGGGTTTGCCATACGGGCAAGATACTCTCAGCAGCTTGCCAAGCTCTCTGAGAGGGACGGAGGAATCAAACTATGGTTGGCCAAGTTGGCTGCATGCAAGGCAAACGCCCTGCCCACTGTGCTATTGCTCCAGCTTAATCAGAAAATTAGTAATTTTCTGAATTTCTAATTCAATTTCAGAAATAGTGTGGTTGAGTTAGAATTGAGTTTATACAAGTCACTTAGTCCCCCTTTTGCCAGACAAAATGCTTTGTTACTCTGTAAGTATAGTAGAGGACAAGTCAAACACTCGTTGCTCTTAATACTAAAAAAAATGAGTGGGATGTTTATACCAACATTTACTAACTTTCCACCAAGATTGCCTTTTCCATACTTCATGAAAACTATTACAAAAAAAGCATAATTTTTACTTGAAATAAGGAATAATAAAGAAGATGCTATATAAGAAATTCTGCTAAATGCAATTGAGTATAAATCAAATATAAATCAGACATTGCCTTTCCTAATGCAGTATAGTTAGGCTCATAGCTTTATTTACTGAAAGATCATTTTTTTATTCAGAATTTCCTGGGGGTGGGGGGCAGGAGTCACACAGCAATGCTCAGGGGTTGCTCCTGGCTCTGCACTCAGGAATTACTCCTGGCAGTGCATGGAGATCTATATAGGATGCTAGGGATCAAACCCGAGTCGGCTGCATGCAAGGCAAACACTCTCCCTGCTGCACTATCGCTCCAGCCCCTGAAAGATCATTTAAAGGCTGACATCATCCCACATATTAAACAAACAATTCATGATACAAGATTTCATATCATTTCATCATATTTTCAGTTTGTCTTACTAATTCTGGTAAATCACCAGGTTGAAAGCTTGAATATAGTAGAGTATTAAGTATAGTCCCTGATATACTCAATAGTTTATAAGTCTGCTGATTCATCTGAAATATTTGGTGGTTTAATTATAGTATTATTAATGAACCACCTTAATCAGAATAGATAGATAGATAGATAGATAGATAGATAGATAGAATACATCAAGTAGGGTCTCTTTGCATTTGCAGACTACAATGACCACTGAAATCTTTCCAACATGACTACACCTACCAAACGAAAAAAAAAAACATGTCATTATGAAATGGCTGTGATATATGAAATTGAGAGGAAATATGAAGGAAAAAATACAGAGAGGAAGGAAATAGATAAGAGGTGAAATGCAGGTGAGTGATACTAGTAAGGGAGCCGCAGACAGCCGGCACCTGCATTACCATTATCAGGGTTGGTAAACATCCTACTGGCACTGGAAACTGTCTTCCCAATATCAGCCAGGGAGCGAAGGTTGGATTTCTTGGTTTGATGTCGGTGCTTCCGGAGCAAAGTATAGGTTACCTTGTCCTTAAGGTCAGGTTTCAATAGGCCAGTTTCAATCTGATGGTCAACAATCATTTCTGATACAAAAACAAGCAAAAAAAAGAAAGAAAAAGAAAGAAAGAAAAATTAAACTCAATCACAAGACAATAAAATTTTACTCTAAGTTTATGGATGCCTGCCTCAAATTCATTATCAATACACTGCTTTCGTAATTTTCAACTTTCCACTTTCTGTAAGAGGAAAGAACCGACATATACTGTTATTAATGAGAGAGTTATAAACATTTCACTATTATTGGTGCATTTCAAAAGTATTGTTTACTTTTTCAATCTCAGTCAACAGTAAATTCACAAAATCACATTCTTTTACACAGTAAATCAGTAATATATTTTTCAACAAATTATAAAAACAATATCTTATAGTTTCATGTTCTTCATAATAGAAAGTGACCCAAGGATATAAATAATAAAACAACTTGAAAAGAATACGAGAATTATAAAGTAGGCATTTTACTAATTGTTAATTCTTTCTACAAAATTATTGTTATAATAGGATAAATCAAAGAAAATAACACCTTGTCCTATAGTAGGTTATTTGAAGATCAATCAATCCAGTGAAAGAAAGATTAAACTATTCTTCAGTCTTTATTAAGGGAAGTTGATCCTTCTTATTTAGAACCAATTAAACCTTTCCAGTATAGTTCATCATTTCAAAATATAACCTGACCAGATTTTTTCCATAAAATTAAGTACTAAAGATTAACTTCAATAAGTTTTATATTTTACCCCAAAATAATTTTTTTTGCATATTTTTAAAGTTTTAGGTAAAGGTAAAGGTAAAGGCCCTCCCGTTGATCGTCGATTTGCTCGAACGGGCCCAGTAACGTCTCCATTGGAGACTTTGTTGTTACTGTGTCTGGCATATCGAATACTCTCGGTAGCTTGCCGGGCTCTCCGAGAGGGGCGGAGGAATCGAACTCGGGTCGGCCATGTTGGCCGCTTGTAAGGCAAACACCCTACCCGCTGTGCTATCGCTCCAGCGGGTTTAAAGTTTTAACTAAAAAATAAACTATATTTTACAAAAGTTGCTCCTTCAGGGGCTGGAGCTATAGTACAGCAGGTAGGGCATTTGCCTTGCACATGGCTGACTCCAGTTCAATCTCCAGCATCCTGTATGGTTCTCCGAGCACTGCCAGGAGTAATTCCTGAGTACAGAGCCAGGAGGAACCCCTGAGAACCCGCTGGGTGTGACCCAAAAAGCAAATAAATAAATAAAATGTTGCTCCTTGAATATCTGAAGAACAAGTTGTAGTGGATGGAAAACATTACAGCAGTTAGGGTGGATGCCTCGCATATGCCAAATCCAGGTCTGCTTCCCAGCACCATGTGCTGCCCGCCCCCCACCAAGCACAACCCTGAAGGTCACCAGCACTGGGGAATCTGGGAACTCTCACTGCCCAAGGACTGGAGTATCATATCCTCAAGTCACATCCTCAAGCCTTTGCACTGAATCCCCGGCCCTGTAGATTGAGGATCACCAGTGAGGCCATCAGACACCTTCAAAGAACTGCTTGAATTTTAAAATAAAACAAAAATTCTCTTTTCACAAGTTCTATGTCAGCAGTAAGACATAAATGTAGCCTGTGCATCCTGTTACCCGTCAGATCATCATGTGTCCAGAACGAAACTTAGAACTGTGTGTGATTTGCAGCGGCAGGAGATCCAACCTCACAGTACTCAGGTAGCAATTCTGTCCCCTGCCTGGTCAAATAAAGGCTCACCTGCTGACCTTTTCAGGCGCAAGGCTGCATCTCGCACACTTCAATCTCTTCCTCTTGGCCCAATTTCTCAGTGTTCAAAAGTGGAAAAGAGAACAGAGTCTCTTCTTTTCCAAAAGTTAAACAAGAAAATTGATGGGCTTTGGGTAGGTAACAGCATCTCATAAGCATGCTCATGTCTTTATTAAAAGAAGTTACAGAGACTCAAGGGGTTCTATTCTAGCACAAACACTCCTCTCTGTGTCTCATCTTCACTTTAGAGCCAGCACAGACCCAACTGCTTTCACAGACTCCAGCTAAAAACCAATCATTCCGTGGTGTACCATCAATTAGCGGGAAGTCAAGCAGAATCTGAATCTAGGATTCCCTATCACAAGTCTAATACAGGTGTTATAAGTGCCACGTAACACCAAGCCACTGGGCAGGGAGGTGAACAAGGCAGAAAAAGTTTCTGCCATAGGATGTTTTGTTTGAGAGTAGCCTTCAGCTCTGAGTATTTTTTAACTCCACCAACCCTACTCAGTAAAGCTATCAGAACTGATCTTGTAATTAAAATTAGCCCTGTGTTTCCACAGTAAAATAATTAGGTGCTAAAGAGAACAACCCCCTTGCGTTCCCTTTAAGTCTGGCTCCACATGGAAAGTCCATTTTACAGAAGAACCATAAAAATAAACAGTCCCAACATATCTGCTAAAAGTGTTATCAAACTCCTACTCTAATTCTAGGGTAGTGGATTAAAGTGTTTCTTATCTGCCCTTCCTGGCAGGGGCTCCTTCGTTCTTAGCCTTCCTTGTAATCTCAAACCAATCCCTACATCTTCACAGTCGGCCCTCTGTTACTAATACCTAGAAATTGCCAGTTAGAACAGGTTAAAACATCGGTGTGGCTTATGTCCTTCATTAAGTTTCCTTAGAAGTGGCCCACATAACAGGGATTTCTTTAAGCATGAACTACCAAACCCTTGAAGGAAAATGGGGGCAGTAACATTTCATAGCTACTCTGGAATTATGCCTTCAGTTTTCAAAGTCCCACGGACGCCACCAATTGGGAGGGATTGTGCCAACTGTAGATGAAGCCGAGCTGAAAGGAGCCTTGGGGAGCATCTAGTTTGACCTCCTGTTACACAGACCAAAAAAGAGAAGGCAAGAGAAGTGGCTAATTAGTGGCAACACTACCCCAAATAAAATTATGTTTTCTGACCCACAGACTTTCTTCCCTATAACATAACAATTTGTGCTCTTTAAAAAGGAAGCTCTCGGGGCTGGAGTGATAGCACAGTGGGTAGGGTATTTGCCTTGCACACAGCTGACCTGGGTTCGGTTCCCAGCCCCCCATATGGTGCCCTGAGCACCGCCAGGAGTAACTCCTGAGTGAAGAGCCAGGAGTAACCCAAAAAGCAAAAATAAATAAATAAATAAAATAAAAGGAAGCTCTCTGTAGTTCACAGTGATTCAATATAAATAAATAAATAGGAAGCTCTATACCAAAAAAAAAAAAAATCTGGGCATATGCAGGCTTTTGCAAACCAAGATAAAGATGATCATGCAACAGGGATAGAGAAAAAGGGCTAACGGCAACAAAGGTAATGAGAACATTCATAAAGAAATGCATTTAACTTTAAAATGAATAATTTGACGAGGCTTAGATAAATATGATCAGTTATGAAGCATTGATTAATCTGTCAAAACAGACTTCTTCCTGGCTGGTGTGCAAGGTGTGAGCATAGAGCAGTTCACGTAAAGATGGTGGCAAAGATAACCACACATTTCCTGACTGGCCTCCACACATCCTGAAGACCAGTCAGAAAAAGGTATCATAAAACTCTTAAGGCAAGGGAGGTAGATCTAAGGGCTCATGTCTTGCATGCAATGGTCTCACCACTGCATGGTCCCCCATGTACCACCTCATGTGGTCCTAATCATCTCCCAGCACAACAAGGCCCAAGAACCAACTCTTAGAGCCATAAAGCCAGGTCAACTGCCACTGGGTTCCACCCTTACCTCAAAAAGCAATTAAACAAATAAAAACCCTAAGATGATCAAAACCCTTTGCATACATCACCATTAAAAAATGAAATTACAGTGGTGGAGGGATGGGTGTTTGGTCATTGTGTGATTGTAACTCAAATATGAAAGATTGTAACTATATCTCAGTGATCCAATAAAATAAATCTAAAAATATATATAAATATAAATAAAAAATGAAATTGAATAAATAAGCAATATCACAAAAGTACAACAAAACAAACTCAGACTACAATAAAAACTGGATGACAACTTAATTGTCCAATATTAGATAAATATTTGGCAGAGATGGAAGTGTTTATATTTACTTTAATGATATGAACAGATACTCCTATTCTTTTTTAATTAAAAATGACAGATTAACTTGATATAGAGTATCCCATTCTGCAAAATAAATTACAAACAGAGTATCCACATCCATGGGCCAATATGCACTGAAAAAATGCTGCAAGAGAACTCGAAAACTAAAGTAGCAGATATTTTGATTTCTTTCTGTCATGTTGTTCTGGATTATTCTTAAATGTGAACATTCATTTTGAGATTTATTTTGAAGTATATTACCATTTTGACAGTATAAAAGGTATAAAAAGCAAGAAACAACATAACAACCACATCTGCCAACATGCACAGTTCAGGAATGCATTAAATATAGAAATGAGAATTCCAAAAGTAGAGCTACATTTTCCTAATTCATCTCTCTTCATAAGAAAATACCTGAAGCAGCTTATAATTTTTAACTTAGGATGGGAAGAGAACTACCATGCAGTTCTGTGTTTCAATGTGAATGAAACTCACTGAATGTGGAAGTATGATGATGGTGGTAATAATAAAACCTTCAAAATGATCCATGAAAATGATGCGTTATCCTTGATAATAGTCTAAAGACACATTTTTCTATTAGCATTCAGCAGCATTTCTTATGGAAGAAAACAAATAGACGTCCTGAGGAGAATCAGCGCTGGGCTGATGTTTGAATGTAGGTGTGTGAAGCTAACAGCTGTGGAAACAGCTGTGCAGACAGTTGCATAGGGTTCAGGACTCCTGGTGGATGCAACTTTGCTTTTGCAGAGGGGATGCAACCGAGGTAAGCCACTGTAAAGTAGCAGGTGAGCTGCAGAGGGGATAAGAGCTATTGTTTAATGTCATCAAATATATATATATATATATATATATATATATATATATATATATATATATATCCACAGTCACCCTTCAACTTCTTTCATTTGGTTGAGCCCAAATTGAGGTAGAGGAAAGGAATCTTTAAAGACGAAGC